GTTCGTTTGGGCCCTTCCCCCCCCCCCGGAGTTCGCTGCTCAGGGTAACCCCTCTTGATGGCTAGCTGGCTGCCTGCCCGCTGCTCTGTGCTCTCAGAGGAGCTGGAGAGATGGGAGAAGATGGAGACCTGGTAAACCTTCTGGCGCTTGATCTCTGTCTCGTTGTAGCCCATGACGATGCCGTGGTGGGTGCAGCGCTGCGAGGAAGGCTCCAAGGGTGCCTCTCCACTGGGCCGGGACAGGCTGGGGTCTGTGCTGTGCTCTGGAGGCAGGGACGTCTCTGTGTGGATGTGCCGCATGGAGCCTTACTTGCCTGGACTTCAAGTGGAGCCGGAGTCAGAACAGCCCATGCAGCAGCAGAAGAGGGACCATAAAGTGCCACGGGTCACAGTATGAGGACAGGGGGTGGGAGCTGGACCCCACCTCACTCAGGATGTCCAGGTGAGCCCTCCGCTATGGGGTGCACTGCAGTGCAACATCTGGAAAGAGAAAGCAGGAGGATGGAGATCAGCCCGGGATCCCCGTCCTCGTCCAGCATTTTGGCTGCAAAGGACCTGCCAGGACGCGGGCAGTTCCCTGTGCAGCCCCGCTCGGACCTTCCTGCCCGGAGATGGGAAGAGGAACCAGGCTGGTGTGGCTCCCTGGGGAACCCTGCGGCATCACCCACCTGCAGGATCAGCACTTCCTTCCCAGCCTGGGCATGGAGAGGAGTCTCAAGGCTACTGGGGCCAAGTCCAGACAAGTGGGGAGAAGGGGGTCTGTCCTCTGCCAGGGACTTGACGTGCTTGTGCTGTTCTGGAGCACAGGAGTCAGGCAGATCAGACCAGTCCCAGGGGCTCAGGCCTGTAATCACCCCTTTGGGCAACAGCAACAAGATCTCCCAGTGCTCGCCAAGAAGACCTGCCCTGGCTACATGTGCTGAATGGAGGCTGTGCTGGCGCCCTACGCTGCCAGCCCCACGGAGGGGATGGGAACCTGACCTAACTTCACAGTTAGCTCTGCCGGCTTGGACCAGAGACCTCCACCACCTCAATTAGCAGCTGGGTGGTACCAGGGGCTGCAGAGCCCACCATGGGCTCCTGCACCATCCACCTACTCCTGTACCATCCATATATCATCCACGCGTACCTGCCCCGAGGGCCTAACCTCCTTGCTGCATGGGGCCTCGCTTTTGATTTTCAGCCCAGTTTCAGAGCTGTGAGAATCCTGGCCGTGAGTTTTTCTGGCATGATAAATACTGAAATGGCTGCGAGAGCCGAGGAGATGCAGGAAAAGCCACTGGAAGGCTGAGGAGCTCCAGAGCCTGACAAACAGCCCGTGCCTGGCAGCTCTGCCCTTTGCCTGTCCCTGCAGCTCTGCCTGCTCCTGCAAAGCAAAGGCTTAGGGGCAGGCATGCAATAGGGGAAGCGGTTCTCCAAGTGGGTCAAGGCCATCTGGAGAGCAAGGCTGCACATGGTATTTTGACCCCCGCCGTGATGGGGATGAGAAGATGGCAGGTCAGGGTGGTTGAGCCCAGGGATTTCATTTAAAAGGAGTAATCATAGAATCATAGAATCGTCAAGGTTGGAAAAGACCCTTAAGATCATCGAGTCCAACTGTTAACCTAACACTGCCAAGTCCATCTATACCATGTCCTCGAGCACCACATCTATCCGTTCTTTAAACACCTCCAGGGATGGAGACTCAACCACTTCCCTGGGTAGCCTGTTCCAGTGCCTGACCACCCTTTTGGTGAAGAAGATTTTCCTAATATCTAACCTAAACCTCCCCTGGCGCAGCTTGAGGCCGTTTCCTCT